TGTGTGGGTGTGTGTGTGTGTGTGTGTGTGTGTGTGTGTGTGTGTGTGTGTATGATGCTTGGGATGGAATCCCAGGCCCTGTGCATGCTAGGCAGGTGCTCTACTACCAAACTACACCCCTAACCCTATTCCCTGACTATTCTTTTTTTTTTTTTTTTTTTTTTTGTTTTTTGAGACAGGGTTTCTCTGTGTAGCTTTGGAGCCTATCCTGGCACTCGCTCTGGAGACCAGGCTGGCCTCCAACTCACAGAGATCCGCCTGCCTCTGCCTCCCGAGTGCTGGGATTAAAGGCGTGCGCCACCAACACACGGCCTTCCCTGACTATTCTAAGGCCAGGTTTTGTTGTCTGTTTGGACAGGGTCTCATTGCATAGTCCTGGCTAGTCTGGAACCCTCTATCTGGACCAGGTTGTCCTAGAATTCACAGAGCTCCACCTGCCCACATGGTGAGACTGATATAAGCTAACATAAACTCTCAAACTTCCTGTCTACCAACTCCAGGGCTTTTGTTCTCCTGTCCAGACACCTTGGTCTCCAGGCCCACCTCCCTCCTTTGGCCCCACGCACCGGCTTTGACTTCAAAGGGCAATTCCAGTTCTTTCAGGGCATCCTTCTTCAATGGGAGGTTTTCTAACTCAACAGCACCTAGAAACAAAACAGCACGAAACAGTCAGCCCACAAAGACAGTGCTATTGGCTGTGCACACAACACCAAAGGCTAAGGACCATGGCGAGGCCACCACTAGCCCGAGGGTCCTGGCTGTAGTAAGAATCTGACCGCCCAATGAACCATACACGACAGCTGAAGCACAGCAGCCAGAAGAGCTCAGGCGAGATCCTAACTATTTCTGTAATGGGCCAGAGAGTAGGTACTTTAAGCCTTTATATCATGACAATGGCATTCCTTTTTAAAGTTTTTTATTACATTTACTTGTGTGAGTGTACACGTGTCATGTATATGTCACATGTGTGCTGTGCACATGTGGCAGTCAGTGAACAACTTGCAGAGGTCAGTTCTCTCCTCCCACCATGTGGTTCCAGGGATCGAACTCGGGTCGCCATGCCAGGCAGCAAGCACCTTTACCCACCAGCTCTCCTGCTGGCATTTCCTTTTCTTTTCCTGACTCATGGGTCTCACTGTATTGCCCAGGCTGGCCTCAAACCTCTGGGCTCCCATACTATCCTCCTAGCTTAGCCTTCTGAGTAGCTAGGACTAAAGGCATATGCCACTAAGCCCAGCTCGTTTATTCCTCCAAAGAAGGTTTAGAAATGTAACAGGCAGCTAGGGGTTTCAATGGTCATACACCATACACAAAACCCTGTGATCCCCACCAAAGAAAATGTACCACCACCCTAGCGGTACATTCCTGTAATCCACAATTCAGAGGTAGGGACAAGGGGAATCAGAAAGTCAAGACCATTCTCAGCTACATAGTGAGTCCAAGACCAGTCTGAAAGTAAAAGACAGAATTCCAGCACTTGGAAAGTAGAGACAGAAGGATCAGGAATTTAAGATAATTCTAGGCTGGATAGCAAAATTCTGGACTAGCCTGGTTACAAGAGATTCTGCTCAAAAGTAGAGAACAGGTGGTGATGGCACACACCTTTAATCCCAGCACTCAGCAGGCAGAAGCAGAAGCTCAAAGTCAGCCTGGTCTACAAAAGTGAGTTACAGGACAGCCAGGACTGTTACACAGAGAAACCCTGGATGGATGGATGGATGGATGGATGGATGGATGGATGGATGGATGGATGGATGGATGGATGGATGGATGGATGGATGGATGGATGGATGGATGGATGGATGGAGACAGACAGACAGACAGACAGACCAGCAAGATAGCACAGGAGATAAAGGCGCTTTATGCCAAGCCAGAAGACCTGAGTTCAATCTCCAGGACCCACACAGTGCAACGAGGGAACAGACTCCTAAAAGCTGTACTCTGACCACTTGTACTCTTAGGCATGCACAGAAGCTCTCACACATAATTAGTTAGTTAGTTAAATTTAGTAAAAGCCATCCTGAGATGGAGGTCTGGTCTGACCTGCTGGCTAGTTTGAAGACCCCCAGCTTAGGCTAACAGTTCCCGCAAGAATGCCATCACCTGAGTCTCTAAGATGTAATGCAGGCTCCTTGATCCCCCCTAACATCTCCCAAGTCAGAATCTCTGAGGTTAAAACACAAGAATCTGCTGTGGTTTTTAACAGGCAGTCCCGGCCCTCAGCAATGACTTTCCATAATTGAGCATAAGTGAGAAATGCTTGAGAGCCCATGGTTTAGTTAATAAAACTGAAGGCAGGCATGGTGGTTCACACCTTTTATCCCAGCACTTGGGATGCAGAGGCAGGCGGATCTCTGAGGCCAGCCTCGTCTATACATAGTTAGTTCTAAGACAGCCAGGGATAGGTAGAGACCCTGCCTCAAAAAAATAAATAATAAAAAAGTAAATAACTAAATAAAACTGGTCACCCCAAAGTACTCTTTTTTCTAGAGAGACCAAATGGTCACTCTGCACCTCCCAGAAGCACACTAACTGGTCTGAAGGCACAGAAAGAGCAGGGCCAGCCTGTATGATGACTCCAACCCAGGTGTGCAAAGACAGGACAGCCGGCTCCAGCTCTGCTACCATTTGGATCCAGATGTCCACCAAAGGCCCATGAACTAAGGGATTATCCCAGCCCATGACACTACTGGGAGGCAGTGGGGGCTTTACATGTGGGCCTACTTCGTAGAAATTAGGGAATTAAGGGCATGCCCTCACAAGGGTACTCAGATTGGGGCCCCTCTCTGATTCTGCTCCCCATCTGTCCTAGGGTAGGCTGGCTGTGCCAGGCGCTCCACTCCCACCATCACTGTAGGCCCAGAGGCAATGCAGCCAAGCAACCCATGTGAACCAAAACTGTGAGTGAGCCAAATAATCTTTCCTCCTTTAAACTGATTGTCTCTGGTATTTTATCACAGTAAGGGAAGACTGACAGACTCACCTGACTTTGCAAGCCATTCATATATATCTCCAAACATGAGAGAAAACATCGCCCCTAGCCACAAACTCCTGAGGAGAGGGCCTTGGCATTATAAAGCTGCATGCACAACACAAAACCATCTCTGAGCCATTGATCTGTCTGGGATAGATATTTTTGAGAACAGGGCATACAGACAACAACCATTAACTGGTAGAAAGTCCAGAAATAGGGCAGACAAAGCTCACTGCAAAGTTGTAATGATGTAGGCACCTTACTTCCCTGAATAAATGACTATGCAGACTCTAAAAAACCAGGTCAAACCTAGCCATTTGGCAGATTCTAAGCAAGTGTAATCTCTTTTTTTTGGAGGGGGGGACGTTTACATGTTTTAAGAATAACCTGAAGCAAAATAACCCTATTTCCAAACGTGGAGAGAAAATTATCATAAAGAAGAAAATAAAACAATCAGAAAATCTCGCTGGGTGAAAATGACTTTCAGAGAGACACCTGCGGTTTCTTGTTTTGTTTCTGCAGCACTAGGGACAGAAGGCAGATCTCACACGTGTGGTGAATGCTCCATGTGCAGCCATGCCCTGGCCCTTTCCTCTTTTACACATTGATTGGCCTTGTTTTTCCATATGCTAATCCAGGGTTTCCCTGGCTGCTGTGCTGTCAGAGAAGGGGAAGGAGCTTACACATAAAACATGAGAAGCACCGGAGGTTTAGAAAGGACGGAGAAGAAACAGAAGCCTGAAGCCAACAGCTAAGAACATCAGCAAACACGGGAATGGCTCAACACCAATTTGGAAGACATGCTAGTCTCCCACACACATACTCACACACACACACTCCCTCACTCATGTGTGCCCACAGCCTGCCCCGCTGGGAAGGGTCCTGCCCTGCTAGGAAGGATTGCCTGAGTGAGAGTCAGGCAACAAAGCACCCGAAGGAGGTAGGCCTTTCGAAGCCAGAATGCCACTCATTGATTTCCAGGGAAACAATTTCCAAGCTTATTCATGGATGGCTCGCCCCAAAATTCCTGACCTCACACTGGCCAGAGATCTATTCACCAACATTGCAGTGAACTCAGGCCTCAAGCATTTCCCGGCCATCTCTGTGGACTACCAGATTCTCTTCATTCTGCTCCAGGTTATTTAAAGGACCAGGCTGAATAGGGCTCTAAAAACAAGGGGGAGTTGAAGTGCAGAGTCCTTGTACAGAAAAGCCTCTCTCTACTTTCTGACTCCCCTGAGCCTACAAGCTCCCAGCCTCTGTTCCTGGGATTCACTCCACCTTGAGTGTGGCAAACCCTCCTGTGCAACCCACTGAAACCCTTTTTGGTTCACTCAAAAGCCACCCACAGTAGCTTCCCCCAGGCCCTTCAGACAAAGGGCTACTCTCCTATGCACTCAAATGCATAATGTAACTTTTTATTGTAATTAAAGACAGAGTTTTACAGTGCCCCCTAGATTAACCTGGAACTCACTATGTACCCCAGACTGGCCTCCAACTCACAGCAATCCTCCTGCCTCATCCTCTCAAGTGCTGGGATCACAAGAGCCAGTCTTCACATCCGACTATCACCTGTAGCTGAAGTCCAACCATTTAGCAGTGGCTGCCTTGTTTGTGTTGCTGCTTAATTTGCCTCCCCAACAGGTTAGTGGCTCTGAGGGCAGGGAATTTACAGGCTGAGGTGGGACAATGATAATGATAGCATCTACAACTTAGTGAGGTCCTACTGTGTGCCAAATACTTCATGGTTATCCCTTTTCCCCCCAAATAGTGGGCCTCAAACTCAGACCCTCCTCATCTCCCACCCACTCGTGCAAAGCAAATGTTCTACCAGCAAGCTATAACCACAGCCCCTGAATTATCTCATCAGAAAATATATATGTTCCAGGAATTTGAAAGGGAGCAATAAGGGAGGGTTTAGAAAGAGGAAAGGGGAGAATGATATAATCTCAAGCAAATAAAAGAAATAATTTTTAAATATTTAATACATGTGGTGGTTTAAATGAGGCCCCCCAGAGGCTTTATATTTGAATATCTGGTTCCCTAGGTGGTGGTCTGTTTAGGAAAGATTAGGAGATGTGGCCTTGTTGAGGAGGTGTGTCACTCAAGAGTGGGCTTTGAGGTTTCAAAAGCCCACGCCTGGCCCAGTCGCTCTGTCTGCAACTTGCAAATCAGATGTGAGCTCTCAGCTTCAGTTACAGCAACATGCCTACTGGCCTGCTCCCAAGCTTCCCTCCATGATCATCATGGCCTAGCCCCCAACTGTAAGCAAGCCCTCAGTTAAACACTTTCTTTATTAGTTGCCTTGGTTGTCATGTCTCCTCAGAGCAATAGAACAGTAACTACGACAATACACTTTAATTTCTAATTTTATTTTATGCATATGGATGTTTTGCCCGCATATAAATACATACATCTGTGCCACTTCTGTGCCTGGTGCATAGAGAGACCTGAAGAGGGCATCTGATCCCCTGAAACTGGAATTAAAGACTGTTGTAAACTGCCAAGTGGGTGCTGGGAATTGAACCCGGGTCTTAACTGCTGAGCCATCTCCAGCCCATGTATTGTCTCACTCAACCTTCATAACAAGGCAAAGAAAGATTACAAGTTGAATATCCCTGTCTGGAATGCTTGGGATTTCAAATATTTCAGATTTGGGGAATTTTCTGATTTTAAAATATTTACATAGATTTCACTGGTTGAGCATTCCCAAACAAAAATCAAAACTCCAAGGCCAAGGCTGTTGCTCAATAGGTAGAGTACTTTCTCTCTCATGGCTGGAGCCAGCAGTGCCACCCCAGCACGGCTGACTGCCCCCCCCATTTTGCCCCTTCCATGCAGTCCAGCCACAGGAACCTATTATCAGTCCAGCCAGTTGAGCGCTGTCTCCTTTGTATCTCCACAAACATTTACACAGGAAATATTCGCTGCTAGAGCAGAATAGCACTCTCAGGCCTGTCTAGCACCCTGTCCCTCATCACCAGTCCCTCAGATCACAGCCCCCACACACTGCGGAAGTAAAGGGGTCAAGTTCTTTCAAAACTAATACCAGTTATGAAAGAAAAACATTCCTCGCCGGGCATTGGTGGCGCACGCCTTTAATCCTGGCACTCGGGAGGCAGAGGCAGGCAGATCTCCGTGAGTTCAAGGCCAGCCTGGTCTCTAGAGGGAGTGCCAGGATAGGCTCCAAGGCTATACAGAGAAACCCTGTCTCGAAAAAAAAAAAAAAAA